CTATCTATCTATCTATCTATCTATCTATCTATCTATCTATCTATCTATCTATCTATCTATATCTCACACACACCTAGCTTGAGTCATGCCAGGGAGATCCAAAACATGAGAACTACCACTGAGAAGGGTCTTTCCTTTATTTTTTCAGAGTAAAGGCAAAAGTAATACAGTACATTATAGAGTAGTAGAGCACATATGTGCTAGTCATTCCCTACTCTAGGGGATGGTGCTCATCTCCATTTCAAAGCCAAACAGCTAGCAGTGTCCGAAGACTTCTCCGTGGTTATGTGGCCGGCATGACTCAATGGCAAAGGTGCATGGAGCACTGTTACCTTCCCACCAAAGGTGGTTCCTATTCTTCTATTTGCATTTTTACGTCCTTTCGAACTGCTAGGCTGGGACAAGCTAACTCCGTTACATGGCATTAGGGATTTGAACTGTGGAACTGCTGACCTTTCTGATTGACAAGTCTTAGCCACTGAGCCACTGCATCCCACTATTTTTTTAAAAAAACTATTTAAATTTAAATTAAATTTTGATATTTTATCAAATATTCTCTAAATGTTAGAGAAATCATAAAGCAGGAGTTTCCCCAAAGCTCTAGTCACTTAAATTCAAACAGAGGATTCTGCTTTCAACTGCCTGGTTCCAAGACTGATGGGCTTTCATAAATCAACATGAGCACTGAATTCTGCTTAATAACAAAAGGCTGGAGGAGGAAGTGAATGAGAAGGGAGGGAGGAAAAGATGATAATGTGGCAGAAAACCTAGAGTACAATATAGCAAAGCATCACAAAAGAGAAGGATAAAAGGAAAACCAACGCACACAATGAGAGAAATAAAAGTGGATAAAAAATTTGGCTACAAATATGCAGCTCCCCTTAGAACAAATTATCTCCCCCTTTTAATTTCATCAGCTTGCTTTAAAATTGAAAGAATGTAACAGCACAACACCAGCTCTCTGATTTATTAATTCTATCCTACCCTAGAAATCTTACAAACAAAAGCATTAGTGTTTTCTCCAGAGGGAACACATGAAGGGACTTATTCATGTTGAAGGTGGGGAGAGAAGCACCAGATACCAGAACAGCCATCCCAGGCTCCTCCTTGTTCCTAATTACCTTCCTACAGATTGTTCAACAAGGCGGGGGTGGGAGGAAGAATGAGGGAACAGAACTATGGGGTGTCATGTTATAACAAAAGAAAGGAAAATGAGATCAACTGTAGATGAGGAATCCAATCCAAAATACAAAGCAAGGATATGGGCTTTTTACCGTCTCTTAATCTTGCTCCCACCCAAATCCAAACCTTAATAATAAAAAAATAGCATTAACAATAACTTTTCCTTCAGGTTTTTCTGAGGTTCATTTGGACCTCTTTATAATCTGGAGCAATGCATCCAGAGGTGGGTTTCTCCCAGTTCAGTCCGTTGTAGCAAAGGCGAGAGGTTCTGCCCACCCACTTCTGTGCATGCACAGAAGCGTCTTGAACGTGCACGAATGTGCACAGGAGTGCGCCTGAACCGGTAGTAAAAATATTAGCAACCCGCCACTGATATGCATTCCCTTGTTTATAGCCCATGGTGCAATTAATACTTCCTCTCCCACTATGATTGCTAGGAGTGCAGTTCCAACCTTGCTCAATAATTAAGATCACTCATTGCATTAAACTTTAATATGTTTTGCTTGTTTAGGTCCACTACTATGGTTCATTGTTATATGTAAACTGGACCCTTATGCCAGGATCAAGAAATCAGAGTTTAAATATGCTGATTTAGTATCAGTGTGAATATAGTCTATAATTGAATTAATATGACACATGAAACACAAAGCAGGTCATCATTTTAACCTATGAGGCAGTGTAAACTTATGTTTATCTCTAGTATGCCATCTGAATGTAAAAAACTGGTTGGTTAAACCCCACTTCAATTAAACATAGATAAGCTTGTGCCTTGTATTGTGCTTATAAATCAATGTCAGGAGAGATTGCTTTCCTTGCTTCTAATATTCTTCAAACAGAAACACCAAAGAATTACTGTGTGATGCTGGACAGCCTAGGCAATCTATGATTCTATGTGGCTTGGAAGATGTGAAGTCCTTCAAATTTACATCTCTTACATGATTTTGTCTCTATTTTTTTCCCCATCTGCAAACAAAAACAGTTCAAAAATGGGAAGGTACCTTATTCCTTCCTTCCTTCCTTTCTTTTTACATTCATTCCCATGTGATTCTTTTTTTTAACGGGAAAAACATATAGGTTTTACCTTTCCTACAGAAATGGAAAGAGTTGGGACTATGAATATGATCTCACCCAGGGGTGAAATGCTACCGGTTGGTGCCAGTTTGCCCGAAACGATAGTAAAAAAATAATGCTAAAAAAGTTTTTTTAAAAAGTCTGGACGATAAGCTGTGGGACAATAAACGGTGCCGGGCAATCATGGGAACTTTTCGTTTTACTTTTTTAAACCTTTTTTTTACTACTGATCAGCTGTGCAACAATCAACTGTGCCTGATTGTCTGTGAGGTTTCTGCTTGTTGCAGGGCAGTTTTGTGTGAAGTCCAGCTGCTTTTACATTGTGTGTACATCAGTTGTGCAGCTTTTGTGTTATTTTTGTGTAAAGTGTGATAGTTGGTTTTTGAGCCCTCTGTGCCTCTGCTTGCTGCAGGGGACATTTTGTATGAACTCCAGCTGCTTTTAGAATAGAATAGAATAAAATTCTTTATTGGCCAAGTGTGATTGGACACACAAGGAATTTGTCTTTGATGCATATGCTCTCAGTGTACGTAAAAAGACAAGATACATTCATCAAGAACCATAAGGTACAACACTTAATGATAGTCATAGAGTACAAATAAGCTATAAGGAAACAATCAAGATCAATATACATCACAAGGATACAAGCAAGAAAGTAACAGGTTCTGCAATCATAAGTGGGAGGAGATGGGTGATAGGAATGATGAGAAGACTAATAGTAATAGTAACGCACCCTTAGTGAATAGTTAACAGTGGTGAGGGAATTATTTGTTTAGCAGAATGATAATGTTCTTGTGTCTAGTTGTCTTGGTGTGCAGTGCTCTATAGCGTTGTTTTGTTTTGTTTGTTGCAAGGGCCATTTTGTGTGACGTCTAGCTGCTTTTACATTGTGTGTGAGTCAATTGTGCAGCCGTGGCCCCCGGTCACATGACCATCAAGCCACGCCTGCTCGGTCATATGACCACCAAGCCATGTCCACCTAGTCACATGATCACCAAGACACGCCCACCAAGCTACACCCACAGAACCGATAGGGAAAATTTTTGAATTCACCACTGATCTAACCCATCTGCCGTTTGAGTACAGCAGCTTCCTGAATGTCCCTCTTTTTTTAGAGAAAGAAAAAAGTAAATCGTGCTTTGCTTGTATCCAAATTATATTATAGTAACATGTTTTACAAAAGACCACCTCTGAAGTGTTCTCAGCAATAACAATAAAGTAGTAATCAAAGTGTGACTGCAGAAAACACAGACTAATTCTAAAGTATCATCAGTAGCTCCCATGTAGTTAGGGGGCTCCAGTCATAGTAACTGCATTTTAAAACTATTATCAGATTGTGTTTGTGATATCTAAAAGTACATTTCTTTCATATGTGCCTATATAATAGGAGTCTTCATCCTTTTTTGAGCAGATTTAACATTTTGAGAAACGTTCTGATAGAACTCTTAGACTTGGGCTGTAAAGGTGCTGATGAGCACCAGATGATGGTAGGAAAGACTCAAAAATCAAGATTGCTGCCATGCAGCGGTCATCTAGAACAGTGATGGCAAACCTTTTTCACCTCAGGTGCCAAAAGCATGCACTCACATGCTATCGCGCATGTTCACATGGCCATCCCCATAATTTAATGCCTCCCCCATTTTTTGGCTCTGGAGGGCGAAAAACGGCCAAAAGTCAAGGCCAAAAATCAGTTGGCAAACCCGTGCATGGGTGCTGGAGCTGACAGGGCAATGCCTCATGTGCCCTCAGAAATGGCTCCGCGTGCCACCTGCGACATGCATGCCATAGTTTTGCTATCACGGATCTAGAGGTTTCATCCAGATCTGAGAGCCCTGGTTATAATTGGCATCTTCCTTTAATCCTTTTGCAACTCCCAAACTCATCCACGTTAAAGTCTTAAAAATCTGTGAGAAACAAGCCATTCTTTCTCTTGAGTGCCAGAAAACAGAACGAATTTCCTAGCTAATTGAGTTTTGGCTTGAAGCAGCCAGCAATTGTGAAGTCTCATCTTAGGAATATTGCCAGTCTCAAGAAGTAATTCGGACAGCTTCCAAGAGACTTGGGGGAAAGCATCCTAAAAAGCCATCGGGGTCAAACTCTTTTCTATCTTGTGTTCTGGGAATAAATGAGAAAAAGCATCTTAAGCAAGACAAGGATGTTCTTAAACAGAATAGAAAGAAGTCTTTAAATTAAGCCAATTCTCAAACATCTGAGGCAGAACAAGTTGAAAATCAATATTGTTGCACACACTGTGCACTGATTCAAGGGACTCTCTCATAACGTATTAAATGACTTCAT